TATCATTATCTTCTTGTCAATCATAAAGGTTTGTACTATAAACAACTAGGGAAACATAGGAAAAGCAAGCAATACACCTCTTCTTACTTAACGCTAATACTGGGCTCGGTAGCCTACAGGGCATCCCCGGAAGCTTGTAACAATGACACACTTCCTTCCACTTCCATTGTGTGATAGGACCTCTTCATCAAATTTCCACCACCTCGTCGTCTCATCTTCATAAACAAGCGGTCTGAGTGAAATTCTCATTTTATGGATCAATTTTTCCCGAAGGGAATTGCAATGCCCGCGCTGAAGTTGTTCTTCGGCTTGATGATTGACATGTAGGGAGGACCTGCTGTTGGAAAGGAAGGTATCGAAAGCTCCACCGGCTGGCTCGCCGGCCGACCGGCTGGCCGGCGGACTATGAAAGCAGCCAGTTGCACATCTTCCACGGTCTCATGGATAAAGAACGGTAACATATTTCAGAAGATCGAGACAGAAGGGGCAGACCCCATCATCTTCGTGTTTCACTATTTCTTCCAGCTCAGAATGGGAAAAATTATGAATCCGATGAAGGAAGACGAGTTAGTGGTATCATCGTCTATCAAGCAATACCGGATCCCTTGGTTATAGAAGCTGCCATAAGAGGGATTTGTGCCCCAAACCCTGACAATGCTGTCAGATCACGGGAGATTCTTTTAGATGTCGTCATATTCGAGGAATTTCCCTCGACCGGCTATTCCTTTAAATGCTGTTTACAAGTGTGCCAAACTACTCTTTCCACCCTTCGCTTCTTTCACACGAGTTTTTTGGCTCCCTTCAACTTAATAATTTCCAAAAACCTGTGTCACCTTTCCTTCGGTATTGTATTCTTTATCATCAGTGCATAATTAAATGTAATGGTAGTGTAAGTAGAACATCAGGGTGAAGGTGCAAGGTTTTCGATTACAATATAGTTACTCTATACTGCAGTAATGACGTTGTTAGTACACTCGACCTTTACATAAGTTTCATCACTTTTTATGGTCGACTGGCCGATGTATAGCGATTCAGTTCTGTAGAGGCGGAAGTTTTCTGGAAATTTGAAGTCATCTGGTTAAGTTATTCCATTCATGAGCGCTCCTGGAATGCAATATTCGGAAAATCGTCAATTAAGATGCTATTATTTTGAATTATGATGCGACGATGCAAGCGCTTCGGAATAAGTTGATCATGATGTCGACATTAGAGATCGAACGAACAAAGTTCCAATATCCTGTATTTTTCTTCGATAAAAACTGTTCGCACTATATAGAGCTAATCGGAGAGTACGGTGTACGATGACAGCTCTTTTCTGTGAAAGTGATAATGGACCTGATCTCATCAGTACAGCGCTTAGCCGCAAAGATGCTTTGTTAATGACATTCTATGTATCGAATGATGAGAGCTAATAGTCATAAGGGATTAGTCAATCCATCCGTGAAAGCCAATCCATACTTCTTCTATCGAAAGAATAAAAGAGACTATATTGGAGATGCACAGTATAGAATAAATTCGTTCCGTCGCTATGGCATATCGGTTTCGCTTAAGCACGATCGGNCCAGGTTATTTATTTATTTCTATTTGTTTCTATACTTGTCAATTTCGAGAGGTTTGCCGTAAATAATGATGAGGCGTGAGGCTAACGTAAAAAGAAGTGTAGAAGTCGAAAATAAACAGGGGACCTAACACCCTAGGAAAAATGAGCCGGCTGAGAGTGGAGTTTTTGATACGCGTAATGCTGCGAAAAAACTCCAAGTCAGCATTTTCAAAATCCTACTTACTATAAAGTGCTTCGTCTGTCGTTCTGTCGTCTGTCTTCATGTATACCTGTCACAAATCCTTAGCTCCTTTAGATCTGCTTGGATAGACCGGGTAAAGCGTGGGATAGGTGGGCCATGTTTCGAGAAGTATAAAGCACACATCAGCTTGGCGGAGCCTCGCCCACAGAGGGTGTGGCGTGCATCGATATGGGCCGTACCGAGGACCATGATTTCAAATTCAATCACAAGAGTGTTCAAAACTGGGTGTAAAGGTGGCTAGAGGTGCGCATTGGTAGGTTAGCTCGAACTAGGAAACCCACCCCCCGATGGGCGGGGCGTTCTCCAAAGATACAACGCTTCATGAAAGCATTTATAACTCGGTTTGGAGAAAGACAACGGAGCAGGAAAAAGTTGATGTAGGAGAAGGATTATCCAAGGTGTCTCCAGCATAAATGACGTCAGCGGAATGGGCGGAGTGTGCGTTGAGGTGAAAGCTACTTTTGAAAAATGAGTGTAACTTCGTTCGGAAAGGTTTCAGAATGCAGGAAAAANAAAAAGGTAATGGTTAGAGGTAATGGAATAAATGTGGGTCAAATCCTCAAAACGGGGCGGGGCTGGCACCGAAGTGGGCGGGGCTCAGATCAAAATTTCATAACTCTGTTCAGAAACGTTCTAGAATGCGGGAAAAAGTGGTTTGAGGTATTGGAACAAATGTAGTTAAGTCCTCGAAATGGGCGGAACTGACACAAGGAAGCGGGCTAGGATCAAAAATTCATCTCTTCGAAAACTCTCTAAAATGTGGAGAAAATGGGTAGGAGCAGCTGAAAGACGGGTGGTCCCTCGCCACATCAGGGGTTATAGGAGCTAACCTAGTATCCAACTGAGGGCACTTCAGCAGCTATGTTCGAGAACGCCTCGCGATTTCGGAAAGCTGGCTATAGACCAGCACAGAAATTTGCTTTTGTCAAATGATGCGTCGTTTTAAATGGTACCATCCCAACCCCCGTTAATTCAGTAGATCTACCTTGAGGCATACAAGGAGCAGCGTTCGAGCAAAAGTAAAAACAACAAGTAATATAGTTCTAGGAATGTGTGCGATTTATAATAATTGAATTTTCGCGTGTGGCCGTTACGCAGTAGTGGCGCGTCTTAGGTAATTTCCTAAAGGAAATGGTGGCTCATGAATTCAGAGATTGCAATAGACGAAGAGTCTTCCCGTTCGCATTCCGAACATGCAATTTGTCGTAGTAGTTGGAATATGAGTATCATCGTCATACGAAATTACTATGAAATATAATACATTGAAATATAAGTGTTGGGCGTGAAGTGTCGCTAATAATCTCAATTCTCCAAAAAAAATTACGACAGCCGAACATAATTACATCCAAGTATAGCATTAATTAGCCTTGCTGCCCTTTTAGACATCGTGTATGCAGGTTTTTGATTCATCGAAGAATTTTACTGCTTATGATTGCGTGTAAGTACAAAAAGATAACACAAAATGCCAAACTGGAACCTATGCCAGAATTCTCACGGTCGCGTGCATGCACGCGCCAAGTCCTTGTTAGTGGTGTCGCGGCATCGAATTTCAATAATCCACTGTCTAATCTAAGCCCATCAACTGATACCGTGCCGCAGACGTTTGAATGTAAGCTCATATAAAAAGAGTTCACATTAGCAGTGGTTCAATCTTGATGCGTAAATAGAGCGCAAAATATTAGGTTGATGCATAATTACTGCGGATTTTTTGGCGGCTTTTTTTCTCCCGACAGAACTTGAATATTGAGTTCGGGTTTTTTCTAGAAATGATCTACTTGATTTCCTATACAAAAATGTACATAGAAAACCATTCGCATATTCCTAAATTAGGCTCTACAACTTCGAGAAAGGTTGGAAGGTGGCAGAGCCATTCCGTGGTCTCAGTAACTTTTCGGCGATGGAACAATCAGCCAAAGCCACCCAAGAAATTGGATCTGCCCCTAAATCCGCCGTGTTAACCAACAGAAGCTTTTATGGATTGTCTCGTCAACAATTCGCTGAAAAAATGGCTAGGGAATAGAAATTGCGTCGATTAGGATGACTTGATGCCGAAGTCAAGGCGTAGATCGCCTCCAAGGATCAAAACTTCTTCGCTTTTGGAATCCGACTATCTAGTCAATGGGAAGCAGTGCTTGACATAGATGGTGGATAGGTTTCGAAGTAATTATTTGAATATCTTTTGTTCAGCATTTTTGTCGTTTCGCTAAATAAAATTTGTTGAAAAAAATTTGCAATAATTATGCATCAACCTAATAGATTTATTCGAATATGAATGCACGGCGCAATAATACAGATGCTTCGCAGATGGTGGGAAGAGTCGAATGGCTGCTTTCATAGTCCGCCAGCCGCAAGCCGGCGAGCTAGCCGAGGTAGTGCTAGGGGGGAGGAGGGAGGCAGACGGTCGGTCCCGAGCCCCTTCGAAGGGCTGAAAACAAAGAAAAGCAAAATCAAAAACCATTTGCACAAGCCCGTGGTTGTTTGACTTTTGGTTTTGTTTTTCTTTGTTTTCAGCCCTTCGAAAGGGTTTGGGCGCGACGCGACCGACCGTCTCCCTCCCTAGCACTACCTCGGCTGGCACGCCGGCACGCCGGCACGCCAGCCCGTGGACTATGAAAGCAGCCAATGAAACATTTCGCGTTATGAGAAAGATAAGCATTGCAAACTTGAGCATAAACAAAACATCAAGCCCCTCTGATCAAAAGGATCCTTGAATAATGACATTCCCTAAAGAAATCAAATCATTCACAAAGATCAAAGAGTGACAATATCAAGCGCCTGAACCAAATTGTCTACATAGATCAAAAAAATCGCGATTCTTCCGCGATACCATACATTGCGTGCTCCAATCGTCCATTTGATTTATACGATACCAGGCGAATGCAACGAGCTCAGCACGTCACGGTCGGTCAGAAATTCACGAACTCACGTTGTTCGGTCAGAAATTCACGAACCCTAACACTCTTTACAGAGTTATGCCATGTAATTCGTTGTATTATAGAACACCTTGCAACAAGACGTATACACAGTACGAATGCAACCGAATTACTTGTTTTTACTCTTAAAGGAGAGTCACATGCGATATTGAAGTAACAAAAACGCTGCTGGTGGCCGATTCCAATATTTCCATTTCAGAACTTCGAATCGTGTGTATCTGAATGCGATTTTTTACATCGATGGAGTGGCAGGACGCTGGATCAGATGCGCGAGGACTTACAACATTTGGCGGACACAGTACGTTGTTTGTTTATCAGCCCTGATTTTTTCGAACGTGAGAACATCAGAGCTTTTCGTTTGATTGGCCCAGGAGGAGTCACATTTTCGCAAAACTGATAAAGCAAACTGAAGATTTTTCAGACCCCTTTCGCTGGACAAAGGCGATGGTTATGAGAAAAGCCCTTATGAAAAAAGATTTTCTTCTCGAAGATCTCCTCATGAGATTGAATGCATAAACTTTTTGCTTTGAGAATAAGTCACGTGGGCGATGCGGTAAAATGCTGCCAATCCCTTTGATGAGATTTTTCTACAGACATTAGGGCCCACGTGACTCCGACAAATAATTGGATCAATGGGCTCTTTTGGATTTTGCTCAAAAATCCCACGTCTTCAAGTTGTTCTCCATTCATAGAACGCCCACAAGGACGGAGAATTGCATCATCTTGGCACGTGCTACCCATTTCGGTTGCTAATGAGTTTACATGTACTCAGCATGAACTGCATAAGGTCGTAAATGGATGGAACCGAGAAAGTGACCAATTCCGTGGTGCAAGTGGGGGGTTGAAGGTGAGGGACAGAAAATGCAAGAGGCGATTTCCTCAGTTCAAAAACTTTTAACAGTGACTAGCATGAATTCTAGTTAATATACAGAATGTCTTGAATTGACATTTGTTGGAGACAGCAAGAAAAAACGACAGAATGCCGTTCCTCCGAAAAAAATCACCTCAGCTGATGTCTGCAAAATATCGGTCTCAGTATCACGGCAATACCGATCGTAGGGATTACTTGAGTCGTAGTGTGCCGTGACCTAGTTTCTGCGCGGCAACTGCCGTGGCGCATTCTGGCCCACCCGAGAGATTTTGATGAGTTTCAGCACCGATACTTTTCGAAGTATGTCTAAGACCTAGTATCGGATTCCATATTAATTCTCAATTCCGAGTAGTTACAGTGAGTGGTTATCTAGAAAAAAAAACTGTACAATTTGTTCTCGTGCATTTTGATATCGCAGCTCGAATGAGACCTTTGTGTTCTGTGTTTAACATATTAATGAAAATTATTTTCATTCAAATGATCATCGTTTATCATTATTCATGAGCTGCTCTTATTTTTGTTCCGCTGCATTTTTTTAATGCATTATTCAAGAAAACACCGTGTCGCCATTGTTATCTTTCATGTTTGGAACACTTCATTATATCATCAAATGCAAATATACTGCAGCAAACATGCAAAATGTCTGTGCTACAGTAACCGATTAGACTTCTAATCCGATCCTGACGTTTTTGACGCTCCGGTACACTCTTTGTTCGGTTAGCTTATGTCACAGACGTTCATTAAAATGATTGCGCCCACACAGTCTTGTAACCGCAGTGATGAGCTTGAATGTGCTATCCCCTCTTAAACATGAAAGAATTGCCGCCATCGAGGTTTTTTTTTGCCAATACATTTTTGCTACTGTGCAAGAATGTGCTTCACGTACATATATAGGTGTTGTCTTCGGATAGGACGATTACATCCAAGTTTAACGTCAAATGCCTTGTAGTGTCTGTAACAGCAAGCTAGTTGTGTATCTGCAAGAATGTGCTAGTTTATGCTTCAAGAAGGATAGGGCAAGCGGCGTCTTGTTAGCGTAAGGCATAGACGTGCTTCAGAAGCCCGAACTGGTTCGAGTCCCATCCGAGGCGGGGTCTTGCCCATAAGTCTGGGAATCAATAGCTTTATTTTAAAATAAAAAATCGTCGAGTTGCATTGCCATGAGCTTGTCGAGATGATTCATATGATTAGTGGGTTTGGTGCACTTTAAGGTAATTTGATGAAATCCCAATAATCCGCGATGGCCGCGATCCTTCATGATTTGCGTCCCACGCTGAACTAAAGCAAATCCAATTAGTGGCGTCATCGTCCTTGTCCACTGAGCGCATTCACGTACATGTGGGGGCGATTTTATTACCGAATTTTTGCTCCCTTTTAAAAGTGACTATGATGTTCCGGAAGTCCACACTCTTTCCATTTTGCAATTGGATTTTTTCAACAATAATTTCATTAAACACTGCACCCACCAAAACATGTGGGTGATCACAGGCAGGAGAACAGTGGACAAGTTGGTGAGACCTTAGCTTTTAACGTGGTTATTTGAAAATTGAGAGGATGACGTTTCCAATTCCAAAGGTTCCTTGGACTCTGGAAATCTTTATCGGACATCAGCCATGGTGTTCTAAAACGTAGTTGGAGGACTTGGGGTGAATAGGTTCATGCTATTACCGTACCCTTCCTATTCATGCGAGAAATAATTCGTTTATTGGAGAAGCTCAACGTGACCTTTTTGCGTGTTGTTATAGTCCAAGAAGTATAAGTTTAGACGGAAGCGCTGGATTGAGGTTTGGACTCATTTGGGAGCAGCAGAGGATAGAGGAAATCACGATGAAGCAGTGTTTGTGTAACTTAAAATATCCAGATATTTTGGAATCATAAGACGATCAAAGTTTTGGATCCTTCTGAAAAGTGAGGAAAAACAGATTTTAATGCGCTCCGTCGTCACGTAGTGAGGGATTAGCATTGTTTTCACCCAAGAGTTCACTGGGAAGCTAAATATAGTGCCGATCAAAGTTGGCGACTGGCCATAAAGCAGCTGCAGTCCCGTGCGAGTTCACAAGTAGTTTAATCCGCTTTAGTTTCATGACTACAAAGTAATTTGCATTTACTGCCGTAAATTTATTTACTGCTTCGACGGGTGACATGGAGAGAACTTGTGCAGTGATGAAACGAGGTGGAGGGAGAGTGACCATGCAAGACAAATTGCCGATAGCCGAATTGCACGTCCAAGATCGAGCTCTGAGAATCCGATGACCTGAAAGACCTGAAAGGGCCTTCAACTTACAGTCAAGTATGTAAAGTGTTGGTGATGTAAAGGAAGTTAGGCTTCCGAATCCGATGACCTGAAAGACCTGAAAGGGCCTTCAACTTACAGTCAAGTATGTAAAGTGTTGGTTATGTAAAGGAAGTTAGGCTTCCGAATCGTCACATGCATACAGTAGAGTAGAAAAGAACTGCAGAAAATTTCATTAAAGAACCTGGCATTTTTCCGGTCTTCGATATGACAAAGTGACTTTTATTTCCACTAATATATACGGAATTATACCAGAATAGGTGCAAGATTGCCACATTTCTTACCATTTGTTACTTTGTTTTTGCCCTCAAAAGTTTTTTTTAATTTAGACACTATGGGAAGCGTAAAATTCACCTATGTTTTTGCCCTCAAAAGTTTTTTTTAATTTAGACACTATGGGAAGCGTAAAATTCACCTATTTCATGAATCAAAGCCGTAGCTTTTTTTCTTGACAAACTTAGACAGCAGTCATAACCCGAACTTTTGGCGAATCCTTAACATGTATACATTTTCCAATATAGGGTTTCTTATCGTAGCTGTACTTGAAATTATGTTGAATTTTATAACTTCGATTTACAATTAGAGCGAAATTTGTGTAGTGGCAAGTGATGCACTATCACACACCCACGGTCACGGGCTCGAATCCCATCTCGACATCTGTCAAAGCCAACCAAGCTTTTCCTCCTTTTCAAATCTGTTAATTGGCTTTGAACTCATCTGGGAGTATAAGAGCCATGATCTACTTTTATATTGATATTTTACAGTAATTCGTTGTATAGAGGACATGCGCATTCAGTACGCCACTACGCTTTTGTTGGAAGTCAATAAGACAGATGAACACTAAGGACTTTGTAATTATTATACTTACAATAAGAATAGTTTTTGACAGCGCAAATTAGTTTCCTGTTAGCATGCATGCTCGATGATTGCTCAAATTTTCTTAATTATCCATCATTTGCGGTTTATTTTAGAGTTACAATTGGACATAATTGTTTTTTTTATCCAAACAACGTTGAATAAGACTCGCGAGTAAAGCTGATCGCAACCAGCTTGAGGTTTTTCTATTCGAAGCTATAGATTAGCTGAATAACGGTATATAGTTTGCGTCTAAAAAATGGATGGACCCTAAAAAAATCAATTATCGATTACCGAGTCGGAGAAACGAAGTTGGACTTAAAATTCAGAGCAAGGAGACTCCGATTCTCTACATTGTTCGAAATCGTATTCTTCAGAAAGCATCACGTTCGTTACCAGTATCGGATGCAGACATACGCGGTCTGGCACTTTTGGTAGTGCTCACTGCACGAGACGTCTACAATGCGAAACTGGCTGGTGATCCGACGTGCTCATGGTTCTCGTTGGACTCTCCTGCGGACGTCATGAAGCATTTTGAACGAAATCTGCCCCTAGATGAGGTGTGTTGTAGGCTTCTATAGAAAATCCTTCAACAAAAATGATTTGGGTTGATTTTCATGGCTTCCCAGCTCAATTCCTGAGGGAAGGTTGTACGGGAATATTTTTTGTCCCTATAACTTGCATGGGGACAGAGGTGGTGCAGTTTAGTGGCGCCCTGTCTCACACGCATGTTCACGGGTTTGAATCCCGGATCGATATCCGCCTTGACCAACCAAGCTTTCCATCCCTCCGGGGTCGGTTAATTGATACCAGGCGCGTTTGAGAGAATTAAAGCACTGACTTGTATATCTGTTGGCCACCGAAAGTCATTGTATAGGCCACATGCACATTCATTACGCCACTACGATTCTGAATGGAAGTCGAATGCGGGGCGCATCCCTTACACCGGATTGATCAACGCCAATAGCTCGTTTCTTTGAGGTTATGCCTCCTCGCAAGAATTTCTAGGAGACCGCCTGGAGACCGTTTGCGTAATAGCTAGAGACTGTATTGTATTTTTGATTAAAAAAAACTAGGATTCCTTTGTCACCTTATGTATTATCAGCTATTTATTTCAGATATGCTGGCGGTTGTTAGGTCGTAGTTGCGACGTCTCCATTGAAATTCACGACTTTTCGGGATCGAGAAGGGATACGATACGCCTGGGCACTTCACCGAACTGCATCCACTGGCTTCGAACTTCAGTTACTGTGACTCCACAGCCGTT